TAGCCTGCATTAATTACTGCTCACCAGCGAAGCCGAATCTACAGTTCGTACTCGCGGCCTTCACCGCTTGAGATCTCACTGGGCCCCTCTAGCGCGATGTCAGGGATCGTGGTCGCACAGATCGGCGTGATCGGGACAGAGACCGGTGCCAAACTCAGTGAAGAGCGCATCTTCCGTGCACCATGCAAGGATGTGCAGCCGGTCTCAGAATCCAAGAGTTTGCTCAGTCTCAAGGGATCGAAGCCGCGATCGGCGCTAGTGAGCCCGCGTTGTGAAAACTTGGAAGTGTATTAGTTATGCTACCATCAATCGGACGAGTGCTCTGCGGACAGCCGGGAAGCCTCCAGAGGTGTGGCTCAGCTGGATCGCAACTTGCGCAGAGACTCCCTGATTCACTGATGGTGTTCCCTGACAGCGTTGACTTCCAGAATCTGCCGTGGCCGTGGCAATAGTTGATAAAAGTAGTTGTAGCATAGCCATATTGCGCAGCCCGGCGGTATGAACGAAACAGAGCTGTGGGCTAGTTATCGTCGCGATTCAGGCTCCGTCCACCACCAGCGTGACGTTAGCTGCAGAATGGAATTGCTTCTGCGAAGCCAACGACTGTCACCGTAGGTAGCAGGAGGCGATCCTGCCTTGCCCAATTATCTCAATGTTTCCATGTCTCGCGACAGCGGTGGACCTCGGGCGCCAGAAAAGCAAAGCATAGATGCACAGCTACAAATATCAAGTATCCCAAATACTGCCCTCAGGATTGCCAGAGCATTTCCGCATCAAAGCTTTCACCCCGTACTTTTGAGTTCTGGCCTTAGCGTTGCGCACATGGGAGACAAGTTCCTGGCAGACCTGGTTTCTGCATTCAGGTTAAGACTGCGGCAATCGGCACGACTACTGCAGGTGGGCGTGGTGAAGTCACCGGAAGAACGGCAAGAGTACTGCATGGAAAATAGTCGGTCGTCAGCGTGATGATGATGATGACGACTAGGAGGAGAGCTGAAGAAAGTCATGATGACGATCTCTTGGTGCTGTTGCTGGTGGTCTTGCGGCAGCAGCAGCAGCAGCAGCTTCTCAGAATGTTAACGATGGGGGGGGGGGGGCATGACAGTGGCCATGGTGACCGAAATGGGCTTTGGCTGTTGAATTATGCTCAAGAACGGTGACTTGTGATGTGTTTCGTCTTGTGCAGAGGGCATCGGAGCGTCTGCATATTGCCCGATGTATCGGCATCCTGCTGTTCCGGTGGATGCCTTTCATTGGGCAGCCATGTGTCTCCATCGGCCGTGTGTTGAAGGCGGTGGTCACAGGTGGCGGGTTGTGAAGATGATAAGCCAGTCAGATGCAGTCATGAGTACTGCATGGTGGGCTGACTTGGCAGCAATCGAGTCGGATGGCAACACAGGGGCATGCATATCTACGGAGCCCCACTTCAAAAAGCGGAAGATCGGGAGGACAAGGGTGATTGGATATGTGACAATGGTGACGTAGATGTTGATGGCGACGAAGTTGATGCATGCAGTTCGAAGGCAAAACAAGCCGGTTCACAGCACTGAAGCAAAGCCTTCGTCTCATGCTCCGTGCAGCTACCAGGATCTTCAACAGCTGTCTGCTGTTTCTCCAAATCTGGCCAGCCGCCGCACACTCAACATGGCATGTGGTACTTGACAGCTTTTGCTGCTTCAAGTTGTTATGAAATCAGGAGTCGATGGAGTCGGATGGTCAGCCACGCACGAGTACCTTTTCCAGGAGAACCTACCACAAGATTTTGGATGTTTTTGCAGGGTCTCGTGGACTGTGGGGGTGATTCGCGAAAACTTGTTTGTTTGATGACGTGCGCAGCGGGCTTCGTCCTTGCTAAGTAGGAGGGAAAAAATGACGTGCACACCCTTTGAATGCGAGTAAATTCGTGCAATCTCGCGCAGGAGCGAACACAGTCTCTGCGCATGCTTGTTGTCTGAACCCTGATCTTGAGAATGCCTCCTGCACGCAAGCAGGCACAAGGGAGAAGTGCAGGGTTCCGTATTGGCAGACATGGAGCACGGATATAGAGTATGTTGAAATTAGATTCGTTTCAACAAGTCGCTATCACGTGTTAATGCGAGGAGCCGGGCTCCAAGGCTAAGCTTCGCCGCAGATATGCCGGACGCCAGCATTTGATTTTGCTGTACGCGTAAACTGGCGCACTCGAGTTGTCCGCAACTCACTACGTCTTGGACTGAGGCAGAGTCAATGCGGCAACTGTTGCTCAAGGTGGACCTGCCCATGTGTTTGAAGCCGTTGGCTTTTCTGTCCGTACTTCCAGATCACCTTGTCACGGTAGGTACGCACGTGCGTGCGTACACGTGTGTGTGTGTCATCCCTGAAACTAAGGGCTAGAGTTGTTGTTGCATGTATCACAATCAGCAGGGGGATGGCGGTCACATCCTAGCCATGCCAACGAAGCTGTGGATGTTGCCTGCAAAGAGTCGCTCATGGATCACTTGCGTGACTGCTTGGGGACTCAGTCGCGATTGCAACAGTCATGTGCATGTCATTGAGCCTTGAGTCAGTCCCACGGACAAAATGCAGCACCTAGACAGTAAGACAATGAGGATGAAGGCAAAGAGTCCGACTGCCATTCGGATCATGAGATCCATGCAAGTGTGTGAGTGAGTGAGTGGAGGTATGGGGGCATGTCAATGTACATCTAGACGCTGATGTGCCCATGCCGAGTTCGTTCCAGCTTGACAGTGAATGTTTTGGGTTGGTGTGTATGTTTGTATAAGTTTCAGGCAGTCCGCACAAACAGTACGAGCCTCCCTCTCCGCTCCTGCCTGATTTAGACTATTCGGAGTGCTGATGGGGCTATCGGCGAGCAGTGCTGGCAACTGTCACGAACTGATACAGTACAGAAAGGCAGTCATCAGCTCCAGGTAGCCACGGCATGGAAGACAACTGAAACCTTCGCCGAGGAAGGTTGAATTTATATTATAGCCAATCCGGGCACATCCCCGTGCTAAAGCCTTCGGCGTGTAGTCGCAATGTGCACTTTCAGCTGTCACATCGGCATTGACGTTTTATCACAGCCAACTTCAGCCGGCTTCTCAGAAATCCTACGGACTGACAACACCGACACCATGCTCTTCCTTCGGCTAAGACATTAGTAGCTACATATCTGCCAGACGGAAGTTGTGAAGGCGTGGCGGAGCCAATCGCAGCAAGTTTGTGGTCAGTGGTTTCGTATCCTTGCTGACCAGACCTGGCTGCGGCGCCGTGCGGCACAAGAACCTGAAGGCTACTGGCATGATCTAGTTGTAGTTGTGTGAACAGTGGAACCTAACCATGCGTGAAGCCAGAAGCACTCCTCCCAGACGGATGTTCCATTCTGCACAAGTTTTGTAAAGTCTAACGGTCTAACGTGTGCTGTGCTAACCTCAAGGGATTGTTCAGCTCAGGTCTCGTCGCGCACATTGACTGCTCCTCAGCACAGCATCCCGCAAGAGCTTCTGTTCTGTCTTGTCACTTGTCCGACTTGTGTGATGCCTGACTTTCCAACCGTTCGGAGTCGAATGCTTGATGAACTGGGGCGGAGGTCAGCTTTGTGCCAGGATAGGCCATGAGTAGCCTGTCGAGTGTTCCCACTGCAGCTGGAGCTGGACGATCCAGCGTTACAGCCCTGTATGTGCGCTAGATTCACCTTTATCGCCTGCCGCGAGACGAGGGTGTGCAGTTTGACCTGCTAAACGTCTCTTCGCATTCCTGAAGCCGAAGATTTCGCATGCGTAGACAGGTCAAAGTGCGTTGCCGATCTCGTGTACAGTCCTACCTTTCTGACCTGGCCGACTCTTGGCCGAAGTTCAATTCCATCGCCGAGTTCTTGCGAAAAACGCCGCTGTGAAGTTGCTGCACCCACGATAAGAGCCCAGAGTTTGGTGTCAATCCACGGTTCCCGATGCCAAGCCATAAGCCATCGCAACTACCGTTGCAGGGTGGGGGCTCGTCCTTGCTATGTAGGAGGGTGAAAACAGGTGTAGGGTGGGAGGAGCCGACGGCCGAGGCACGCTGGCAGCGGAGAACGCGGTTATGCAATGCAGCTAGGCCTTACGCAAGCTTACAGTAAGCTCCAAAAAGTTGAAAACCGGATTAAGGACGGCTTACGTTTTATGGAGCCGTTCCAGAGAGACCATACTGACTACTGTGGCGCTAGGCTTAACCCCCCCCAGGCCCCCAGGCCAGGTGGTGGAAGTCGTCTCAACGCCATGTGCCGCGGGTCCGCGTTGTTTTTGTTGCTTCTTTCCATAGCTTTGATATAGCGCAACTTGGCATCTAGCGCTTCCTGTCCGGTCCGGTCCGGGCTTTACAAGTATTTCGCACGGTCTTTGATTGAGATCGGGCCCAGCGCGAGAAGACAAAAAACCCAAGCCGTGGTCAAGCGGGAATCGAGCGGCTGCATGAAGAATGGCTTCTTGTGATTTGCTGTGATGCTATTGCTATCTATTGTTGTAAGGCTCCTCCTCCAACTGTGCGCACGCAATTTCGGGTGCCAGTTGAGAACTGAGAGCACTCAACAACAGCATGTGCCCTGGTGGTTTGGTGTTGGGCTGACATAACGCCACCTGGCGTGATTTCCATCCTGTGCCATGTGACGCAGGGTTGGGGTGACTTCACACCGGCTTGATTGTCGAGGGTGGCTAGTCTCACACATTCAAAAGCCCAAAGACCTCAAACATAGCGTAAAAACACGGGGTATCATTCACACACCGCATCAACTCGTCACTAGAAGACCACTCTTTGTTGTTGCCAGCTACTCTTGAGGATGGAGTCGCTGTGGCTTTTCAGACTGAACTTGCTCTGCTGCCGGAACAGCCTCAGAGGGCATCTCGCCACACATGTCGGCGAGACTTTGAGCTGAGCTGCTCCAGCAAGCGTTTGCTGTGCAGCCAGCATCCGGAATCCCAGTGGCTTGTCAGCGACCTTGACCAGTCAGTCCGTGCGAACTCATTGCGCTTGAAGCTTCTAGGCAGATGGGTGTGGCCTGCTCTACCTTTGTCCAAGACAAAGTGGAGGATGTGGAACCTTGCTCGATCAAGAGCGCAGGAGTAGGCAAGGCTTTCATGCTGCTCGAATCTGCCCCAGTCCCTCATGGTCCATAGTCAATGCACTTGGGAGGCCTGGAGTCCGAGCCACTTTGGAAGCAGATGGCACAAGCCCAGATTGAGTCGCAGAAGGCTGCGGAGGCAGAGGGAGCAGAGATTTTGGCACCGCCTGACCTGCTGCTGCAAATACTTGAGAGGCGGCACGTCCAGAAGTGCAAAAGCTTCTTGCAGAGCGAGCGGCTGCCGTCGACCGAGTTCTGAATGCACCACGTTCCAACACACGTCCTGCTTGAGCTCCAGGCACGACAAGCTGCGATAAAGCAAGCAGAAGCCGCCCCGGGCTTGGTCACGACGGCCATGGCACTAAATCTCGAGATTGCTTGGGGACACGGTGCCCTCAGCGCACCTAGGAGCGCAAGGCTGCAGAGGCTAAGTTGAAGGAATTGGAGAGACTTCAACGACAGAAGGACGAGGATGAGGCAGCGACCAAGAAAGAAAAAGAGGACCCCCGAACATCCTTGAGCATCATAAGCAGATCTTTGGACGAGTTGCGGTGCCTGCTTCAGCATATGGTGCATGCTCAGTTCAAGCTTGAGATTCGCAGTACTGTCGGCCAATTGAAGGGTGCATTGGGCTCTTGACTCATCCTCATAGGAGACCAAGAAGGCTGCTCAGGTGCCAAGCAGCAAAGCAAAGCCCAAGACGAAAACTCAAGGCGTGGGGCCGAGTCATGCATCGGCCTTCGGCATCGAAGGCGAACTGTAGTAGTTCGGGTGCGACTAGATAGCTGTATAGACACATTGCACAGGTGTTCGAATTTGTGCCGGCGCAGCACCTCACAAGTCTTGTCCAACCCGCACAGCCCGAACACGGACAGCACCCAACCCAAGATCGTATGATTTTGTTGCTACAGAAGTTATGTTGTTGAAACTTTCGCACCCGACGCAGTTTCCGACAGGACCTGTCTGGAAAGCCTAGGTAGTGTCAACCTCCAAGCAGCAGTGTTAGCCGACAGCATCACTCGACAGCCCGGAGTCGGTAAATCTACTTTCAGAACACCCCACGAAAAGCATCCCAACTTTTTGTCCTTATTCTCATCGCTACACCCGCAGCAGCAACCCCGCACAGTACCGAGATCCCCACAGCGTCAGGCTTGCTTTCTTCTCGTGGCTCCACCCACACCAGCTCATACTCCTTTGGGAGGTGCTTCCTCCAAACCTGCAGCTCCGAGTCAGCCTGCGAAGCTGACCAAGGCAGGAAGAAGTCTGCCACGCTTGCCCTTATGACTGTCCACAGCAACGGTGTAGCAGTGTAGCATTGAGTCCAGCAACGGCCACATAGTTACAGCGGCAGTTTACGTTGTGACCGTTGCGCCTGACGGCATGGATGCAGCTTTGACTCCGTTATGTCGAGCCAGCTTTTCTTCAGAATTTCAGGACCAGGCCAAAGATGCGCTCAATCGAGCTGTCGCCGCACAGCTGCTTGAGGGGTTCTAGATTGAAGTTGGTTCGGGCACAGAAGTAGACGAGAACCAAGTGACATGGTTACACGGACTTGTCCTCAAGCCTTGTGTGCTGCGCGCGAGTTGGGAGCGTCGAATCCGCATTGAAGGGTGAACAGAGCAGAGTCCGCTGCCGGACGATTGCAACCGCGACCTTTTAGCTCCTTTCAAGCCGCAGAATTTCAGGCGATTTTCGACATGCCGGAGAACCGGCGAAAACTGCAAGAGGCTGTCGCTTGACTCGATCTTATCCTCTGACCCGACGTCGCGGCAGTTCCTGTAGCCAGAGTAAGGGAGTCAGTTGCAACAAAATCGGGCCAGAGACAGGGGCACAAGACCGGGGATTTACACGGCCCCGTGTCTGGAGCAAGTCGAGGCGCGCGTCCGATGCAAATGCCACCCCCAAGAAACCGTGGCTTCTGCTGCTTTTGCCTTAGTGTGTTGCAAGTTCGAAGATGCTTCCCGAACCTTGAGTCGGAATGTCCCAGTTTTGAGAATCGAAACGAGTGTGGGAGGACACTTCCACTAATCCTCATCAACTACGGAGAACACGTCGAACCGGGTCGACCCCGTTGGCACTGGTTTGCTGTGGCTACACCCCACCTTTTCCCCCCGGCCCTTCCCGTCCTTGCGGCCCCTCGCCCCGGAGCTCTGAGTACTCGCCCCCAGGCAGCTGCGGGGCTTGGTGAAGACCGTCAAGAACGGGGGCATTACTCTTTATGTCAATGATAATACGGTCATAGTGTTCTGATACTGTGCGTGGATTGCTTTTCGAAAATTAAGAAAGCCGTCTCACCCCGTGCCAATTGGTTAGCCTTGCCACAAACAGCGTATGTCCTCCTTTCGCCGTAACGGTAATGAGTGAGTGTGTGGCGAATGATATCACGTTTCTGATGTCTGAAGCCAGAGACAAAATAGATCTCAGTTACGGTTAGTCGTGGTGCTGGTGTCAGATGGTGTAGGAAGAGCCGCAGCAAAGTGTGGAAGCAGGAGATGTCCTATTGCTAGAGTCGTGTTGTTACACTGTCTTGACGGAAGCATTGTCTCTGACACGATGCTGCTGTGGGCTGACACATGCTAGCCGTGTTCCTGACGTGCCCGCCATCTGCCACACTCGTGTTCTTGACACGAACGTCATGGAGGAACAGGTTTTCAGCATTTTCGGGTGCTGCTCATTAGTGTCCATAAAGGTCGGTGGGCTCCCACGCTGTAGCACCGCACCAATGCTAGCTAGCCCAAGACCGATGGAACTCAGGCTAGCAGCTGCGGTGGTGATGATGCCAAAAAGATGGCAGTATTGATGTGCCTTGCTTCATTGATCAAGTCGTGGTTGCCTAAATGTCGCCCATGCTTTTCAGCCGACAAGTTCCCAACTTCCTAGGCCTTTGGTGCAAGGAATGCTCAAGGATCTTCTGGAGTCTCACGGCTTTACAGGTGAAAGGAGTCTTGTCAAAGAACTTGCTGTGACACCGTTGATGTGGCTCTTCTCCGTCTGCCACATCCATCTATGTATGTGCGTGCTGTTGGTACCTCAGGATCTTGCATGCCGTCATGCGTCTCGGCATATCTGTGGTGGCCGCGCAGTCTTTTGTGACCTCCAAGGGCTTTCCACACCAACTCAGTTTGGTCGGCATGATTGAAGATGCGCGTGATAGGCCGTGATAGGTGCTTGCTTCCTTCAGGCAGATCTCGACCCATGCGCAAGGAGACAAGAGGAATCCCTGCAGCAGACCAAGGGTCGAATTCGGGCTGTGGGTCAAGTTCTGCAGTGTGTCACAGCTGTCTACCACTGCCGTGACCATCTTCAGCTGTGGGTGTTAGCACAGGGTTGCGCTTGCCCAGCACTGGGACTACATACTGGCTTATCTCCAAGCTGCGACTACGGTCTCTGCACATAACTTCATGGGCAGTTTTGGAGCTCAGGATGTCGAAGCAGCTTGCCAAGCTGCAAGCCACCTTGGAAGGCAACGTCTAGCCTCTATGCACCGAGTGCTCCGACGAGCGTAATTCATGGTTGGTGCAGAAGCCTGAAGGGCTTTCTGTGCTCTCCTGTTTGCTCTTTGTGAGTGTCTCTCTGCACGTCTTACTGTAGCCCTTGGACCTCTGGGGTGGGAAAGCAACTGGAGACAGCTTTCGCAGCTGCAATGTTTCAATCAGTTCCCCAATTTTTAACTGATGCCCGCTTCCTGCAGAGCTATGTTATGTCGGTCGTGGGACCGGCCACACGTTTACTTGAGAGGACTGGTGCTGCGGGCCGTGCCATGTGAGTCCTTTCACAGTTCGTGGAACGTATGCCATGTCAGGGTTCATGACGCTGGACTCGGCAGCATCGGCGCCGTTGCCGGCAGAGCAGTCGCAAGCCTCTCCGCTTCTCTCCAGTCCAACTTTTGAATGGGTGTGCTGTTGTAGAGTGAATTATAATTCATGGAAGTGCAAGCTTTCTTGTCGTCCACGACATCTTGAATTCCATTCAGTCTTCCCAGCGGGAAGAAAAGACCTTTCCCCCTTTCGAAGAATCAGATGGCACCACGTCATGAAAACAATCTTCAGAGATTGAGATGAGCTCGCTCCGAAGACATTGGGAGGCCCGCCGCTGTTCAGCAAGTGCTCACGGCCCACGTTGTCACGAAAGTTTCTTCGCAGGAGCTTGACTTCGAGTGAGGTTGGGGTGGTGGGGGTCAAGCCGTCAAATCTGGTGGAAGTGGAAGCTTAGGCTTTCAAGCGACTGCGGAGACATCAGTGGAGAAGCATTGCCATGCCGCTGATGCTCATGATGCCGGTATTGCGGCGAAATGCATCAGAAGCATCATGAAATCATGATGATTGCTTCTACACCATCAGGTCGTGACTGTTGCAGCCAGACGCCACCACTGCTTTGCGGGGTTTCTGCTTGAGTGGGAACAGTAGTAGTACAGCAGCAGCAGCAGCAGCAGCAGCAGCACGAGCAGTAGTAGTAGTAGTAGTAGTAGTAGTAGTAGTAGTCGTCGTAGTCGTAGTCGTAGCCGTAGTCGTAGTCGTAGTCGTAGTCGCAGTAGCAGTAGCAGTAGCAGTAGCAGTAGCAGTAGTAGTATTATTATTATTGTTAGTAGTAGTGTTAGTCGTAGTTACAGTCGTAGTACACTAGTAGTACAGTAGTAGTGTAGTAGTAGTAAGTAGTAGTAGTAGTAGTAGTAGTAGTAGTAGTAGTAGTAGTAGTAGTAGTAGTAGTAGTAGTAGTAGTAGTAGTAGTAGTAGTAGTAGTAGTAGTAGTAGTAGTAGTAGTAGTAGTAGTAGTAGTAGTAGTAGTAGTAGTAGTAGTAGTAGTAGTAGTAGTAGTAGTCGTAGTAGTAGTAGTAGTAGTAGTAGTAGTAGTAGTAGTAGTAGTAGTAGTAGTCGTAGTAGTAGTCGTAGTAGTCGTAGTAGTCGTAGTAGTAGTAGTAGTAGTAGTAGTAGTAGTAGTAGTTGCGAACGGACTGCGATGCCTTGTCAAGTTCTAAGGTGTCACTATAAGAGCTGTGAGCAAGACCGTGTAAAGTGCAAGAGAAGGGGGCACGCTACGCGTCCCTCGACTCTAAGGGGGCACGCTACGCGTCCCTCATCTTTACCTTTCTATGTGACCGCCCACGCAACGTTTGGCTCAAGTCAATGCCCATAGCTAAGTGCTATAAGTGTCTTCTATCCTGAGCAATCAGAGCTATCCCGTTGCACAGACGAACCGCCGCCGGCAGTGAGTGCAAAAGGAACGGCCGCCGGTTCTGCCTGCATAGGATTGCACGTGTGGAAGTGTGAGAGAGACAGGGTCCAGTCTGTGGAGAGTGCAAGCCAGCCACACCTACATTCATTACAGCTCTGGTGGGGAGAGCAGCAACCTAGTCGAGATCAATCCCCCACGCAGGTTATCAGCCGTACGCGGCTCTGCCTTTCTACAGCAACGACTACTTGATCTACTACGACCACAATGAACTCGGGATCAAGCCAAGATACGACAATGACTTTCGGTGCCGATGTGGCAGCGCCAGCCGTTGGTGAATCAACAGCTGATGACACAGTGGTGCAATCCGTTGATAGCTCCACGGAAGATGACAAAGGTCAATCTTCTGCGCTTGCCATTGCAAAGGCAGTTCCCAAGGTGAAAGCAAAGAGTCTACCAAGAGCATCTACGCCTTCGCGTCCGACATCCACAGGTTCGAGGACGGGCAAGGCTCCAGAACGACGAGCCGAAGCGTCTGGTTTTCAGGCACCTCGGACTACGTCCAGGGCCAAGGACAAAGGAGTGAAGACCTTGGAAAAGAAGTCAAGACCATCATCTTCGAGAAGCTCTTCAGCACGATCAAGGACTTCGGCTACTCGTGGGCGTGACAAGTCCATGACATGGAATCGAATGGTTACCAACCAACCACGCGATGCTGACGATCTGGATATGACTCTGGACACTATTCCAGCACGTGGTGATGCGTCATCGGTGGCCACGCCAGCCATAGCCGATGGTCCGAATGCTTATCAGGAGCTGACGATTTCGCAACAGTTCGAAGCATCGAACCTTGCGCAGCAGATGTACTATCGCAGTCAGATGCAAGAGTACGAAGGAGTTGTCCAGACCCTGATGGACAAGATCAAGGAGATGCAACAAGAAGATGAAGGATCTGGAATTCGCATCGAAGAATTGGAACGACAACGTGACCATGCATGCTTAGCCATGAGGCACATCAACAATGTCAATCAGGAGATGAAGCGAGACTATGAAACAGCTTTGTTTCGCATGGATGAACAGAACTCTGCTCAACAACGTCAAGCACATGCCGTTGCCGAGGAGTTAGCTCAACAGCTACACGTGTTCCGCACGGAAGCAGCCACTAACTTTGTGCAGTTGGAGGCAAGAGCGCAAGGCGATGGTGAGCTTATGGCACGTGAGTATGAGCGTCTGACTCATGAACTTCATGAACATGCCAGAGAGAACTTGTTCCTCCGGTCGAACACAGCAAGTTCGGAACAAGCCTTACAAGCAATGCAGGAACGATTCCACTTGGTCAAGAACCAGGAGTTGCGGGCCGTGAACGAGATCCAAGGGCTAGCTGGAAACAGCGCAGCCATTGATCAAGAACGACTTCGGCTTCGCGAACGTCTTGGTGAAGAGGAAGAGTACCGCAAAATGGCTGTGAGGAGGATGCAAGATGCAGAGGATCGACTTCATCAGAATGAAGATCATGCAAGGCGAGCATTGCCTACCTTGCACGACGAGCTGAGTGAACTCAGGAAAACGCTCAAAGCACAAGAAGATCTTCAAGCGAGGACACGCAGCGAATTGGAGGCAGCGCGGAACTCCAACTATGGAGGAGCGACACGGCCTTCAAGCATGCCCATGTCTTCGAGGACTACTGAGTCTGGCTGGGAGCACGTAGGAAAGGAAGTAGTGCCTGCATTTTCCGTAGGAGGTGAGGTACGATCCCCTGAAATACGGTCCCCAAGTCAAGTTAGTCCAGTCGCCAAAGAGAAGTTCGCATTCTCGGAATCGGACAAGGACAAGAACCTTGTGATGGATGGAATTCCATTTACCGGTGGAAACTTCTTCACTGGCCGCAATTCAATGCCAATCGTGGCGGATGCAATGCCCGAGCACTACGTGCCAGGTGTTAGCAGCCCAGCACTTGCGCGTTCCACGCCTAGTGCAGCCACTCTGTTTGGCATACCAAGCGGATTTCATGGGAAAAGTGATGCGGCAGCCGTGCGTGATCGACAGCTACGCGAACTCTTGGAGGATCGCGGGATGTTGGGATCGAAGTCCACAGCATCTGCCAGCTCCTCAAGACCTGTTGGTGTCGACGGCATCACCGCATCTACGAAGGGCAACGACCTCATTGGTCCCCCTATTGCCTATGACGATTCCATTCATGAAGCAAGGAGACGTCAGATCGAGAAAGAGGTCGCGGAACGGTACGAGGAGAAGATTGCCGATCTGCGAAGCGAAGTACTCAAGGCCCAGAAAGCCGAACAGCGTCTCAGAGCTGATCGTGATGAGTGGAGATTATTCGCTGAAACGATTCAGGAGGATAATGGAGACGATGACGGTGACGAAGCTGGCGACGAGAATGAAGAGGGAGAGCATGATGAAGGAACCGGCACGGGGTATGACCCTCCAGACCCGCCTGATGATGATGATGACAAGAAGAGAAGCGGTGGAGGCAAACCTGAATCGGATCCTGGCTCTCATGCGCGTGATCCTGATGGAGACGCAGATCCTGAAGTCACGGAGGTGAGAATTTCCAGGAGGGAGGCCGACAAAGTGACCGTTCCTCCATGGCCTACTCTCACTCACCTCAACAACTGGCGATCCGTATGCACGGCGAATGTCTTAGGAGCATCAGCCGATCCAAATCATGAGGACTGGATGTTATGGCTGGCACCAGCATTCAACCCATTCCCTGATGTCGAAGCACTGAACGATTCAGGACACAAGAAGTTCAAGAGCGTAGACGTCAAATTGGGGATCGCAATGGTCGCAATGCTACGCGCTGGTGGTGACAAATCTGCTGATCTGTACCTGGAGGTAAACCGGAAGGCCAACGATTACATCAGCAGGCCCGAAGGGAAGATCATCAAAGGACGACAAATCATTGCGATGATGTATGAAAGTTTTCGAACGCATGATCGTCTCGACATGATCATCACTCTCGAGTATCTGGTGAAGCTCCAGTACCAAGGCGACAACAAACTTCATACATTCAAGCAGACGTGGTTG